TCAGCTTCCTTTCTTTCCTTCACTTTGTATTTATTTTTGTTTTTGAGACAGAAGCTCACTATGTTGCCCAGGCTGACTTTGAACTCCTGGGCTCACGCACTCCTGCTTCAGCCTCCCAGGTAGCTAGGACCGCGTGCAGGTGTGCACCACCACACCTGGCCAGAGCTTTAGGTTTCTTTCTCCCCTACCCACCCAGGCCCCCACAGAGTTTACTGAGGGAATCAAACAGAGCTTTAAGTTTTTGTCCATCAAATGTGCAGAAATAGGTGACTCCTGCGTTCTCCCTATTGCACACCCTTTGTGTGAGGGCCTCAGGATGTGTTCCTCCAAGAGGCTGAACAGGCTGAAGTGTCAGAAGAGGCTTAGGGAAGCCAAGGAGTTTATGTACGTTAATTCACTGATCTAAAAAGCAGGTTGGAAGCAGGGTGTGGTGGTGCACACCTGCAGTCCCTGCACCGCGGGAGGCTGGGGCAGGAGGACTACAGGTTTAAGCCCAACCTGAGCAATTTAGTGACTTTGCAAGAGCCTGTCTCAGAATTAAACATTTTTTCAAAAGGCTGGGATGCACCTCAGTGAAAAAGCCCTGGCTTTGATCCTCGATACTGCCAATAAATAAATATAAGGATAGGCTGTAGCTCAGTGCATAGTTACTGAGAACCGTACATAGGGTTGAAAGAGAAGATAGAGCTGCAGAGGTGAAGAAGAGGGAGGAGGGGCTGCTCCATCGCGGTTGGGTGGCCTCAGCCTCCTGCTGCGACACTGACCTGAGCTGCTTCTGCCTCCAGGACCCCGAGAAGGGCCCGGCGCCCACCTTCCAGCCATTCCAGAGGAGCATGTCCGCGGACGACAACCTGCAGGAGGTAACGGCCCCTGTTCCCCGGCCCGGCCCGAAGAGGCCCACAGCCGGCCCTTCCTAACCAGCCTGGTCTCCTTTTCAGGCGTCCAGGCGTCCCCAGAGGAAGCCGCTCTATGAGAGGTTAGAGACCTTGGCGTGGGCTCGGCTGCCTGGGTCCTGGGAGCTCTGGGGCTGTGGAGGCAGCCAGGGTCTGGGAGGAGGAGCTGAGGGCCCTTCTGACCTTTACTGTCCGTCTCGCCCAGCTTTGTGTCTTCCAGTGATCGGCTCCGAGAACTGGGGCCAGATGGAGAAGAAGCCGAGGGCCCAGGGGCCGGCGATGGCCCTCCGCGGAGCTTTGACTGGGGCTACGAAGAGCATGGTGGTGCCCGCTCCTCGGCCTCCCCTCCCCGCAGCCGGGACCGCAGCCACGAGAGGAGCCGGGACAGAGACCGAGAGCGGGAGCGGGAGCGGGAGCGGGAGCGGGAGCGGGAGCGGGAGCAGCGGGACAGAGACCGGGAACAGCGGGACAGAGATAAAGACCGGGAGCGGGAGCGGGAGCGGGACCGAGAGGGCCCTTTCCGCAGTGAGTGAGCTCGGCTGGGGCGAGGTGGGTCTGCGGGTGCAGGGGGGAGGCGGACGGCCTGGAGGTGCTTCCTCACCCCATCTCGCAGGGTCGGACTCCTTCCCGGAGCGCCGGGCCCCTCGGAAGGGGAACACTCTCTACGTCTATGGAGAAGACATGACCCCCACGCTGCTCCGCGGAGCTTTCGCTCCCTTCGGGAACATCATTGACCTCTCCATGGACCCGCCTAGAAAGTGAGTGCTGGGCAGGGGACCGGATGGGGCGGCCGAGAGGCGGTGCCCCCCCACTGCAGCAGCCCGTGACTGCGGCTGGGAGCGCTCGGAGGACCCGCGCCCGCCTGCTAACCCTGCTCTCTCCCCCAGCTGTGCCTTCGTCACCTACGAAAAGATGGAGTCCGCAGACCAGGCCGTGGCCGAGGTTGGGGCTTCCCAGATCGTCCCTCCCGGCCCCACTCCCAGCCACTTGCTTTCTCCCTGAAACCCGGGGGGCTGGGGGAGGTGGGGTCCTCGAGCGGGGAACGTGTCCTCACAGTCACAGGAAGAGCCACCCTCGGGGCCCCTCCGTCTGCTCCTAGGACAGGTGCTGTGCTTCTCTGTGACGCGCGCTGCGCTCTGTCCTCCCTGCTCCCGCTGCAGCTCAACGGGACCCAGGTGGAGTCCGTGCAGCTCAAGGTCAACATAGCGCGCAAACAGCCCATGCTGGACGCCGCCACCGGCAAGTCTGTGTGGGGCTCCCTCGGTAAGAGTGGGTCTTGGTCCGGTCCGCAGGCCGCCCCTCTGCTCCCCTGTGCGTGCCTGGTCCCTGTGGAGTCAGGATCTGTGTGGAGGCTGCGGAGCGGAGCAGGGCGGGCGCCAGGCCCTCTGTCTCGGGTGCGGGAAGGGGAGAGGTTGGGAGTGACTCCTGCAGCACTGCCTGAGAGGTGGCGGCTGCGTAGGGGTTTGAAATGGGGGATCTGGAACTCAGATGTGAGGAGAAGAATGAAACGTGGATTAGAGTCGCCTGCGTCTCAGGGTGGCCGCAAAATAATAGTGTCGGCAGGGAGAGTGATTTCGGAGAAAAGAGCGACCCAGCTCTGGCTTGGGGAATATTCAGGAGGAATATTCCCTTCCTGTGAGCAAGCTGAACGGTACCCCTGCGCTCCACGATGTCCCCTGCAGCCCTGACACATTAGACTGAGTTGCTGCAGCCAAGGAGCCGGGAGGAAGGAGCCGGGGCTGGGATAGCGTCAGAGGCCCGGCCCCTAAGAGGAAGGACACGGATGCAGAGGGCAGCGGTCAGCAGTGGCGAGGGGCAGAGAGCATGGGGGTGGGAACTGGCCGGGAGCGGTTCCCCAGCCCTGGGGGTCTGTGGATGGGGAAAGAGCCCCATCTCCAGGGAGCTCTGGCCACAACTGCCCCATGAGTTGGGGGGTAGCAGTTCTCAGTGCGAATAACCCATCTTGCCAGATACCAGATTTTCCTGGAAAACGGCAGAAAGAAGGGCTCACCGCAAGTGTGGCCCTGTGGGCACTGCATGAGAGGAAACCAGAATTGGGCTGGGGATGTAGCTCAGTGGTGCCGCTGCCTGCCTCATAAGCGCAAGGTCCCAAGTTCGATCCCCGGTACCAAAAAAAAAAAAA